ACGTATAATTTGTAGTTAAAAATTAAGGTAAGTTTCTTTTGCGAAGTCGTGAATCATGATAGTAGGTCAATAGCAATAGAGCTCCTCGTCTGGGGAAGTAGGTACCTATTTCTGTCGCCAAGCATTAATGTGAGCATTACTGCGTTCCGGTTTTGAAGGTAAATGAGGTTAGTCGACGCATGCACTTTTCCTATCATTCTCTCAAGCGGCTTCAATTCTTCTTACCTTTCAACACCAAGGTTATGCTTGCTCAGTCCCTACTACTCCCTCTTCTCGACTATGCCGATGTTTGTTATTTGGATATTACTGAGGAGCTGCTTAACAAACTAGAGTGCCTACAAAATCTGGCCATCCGTTTCATATTCGGTTTACGTAAATATGACCATGTCTCTGAATTTCGGACTAAAATGAAATGGCTCCCAATCAGACTTCGCCGAGATATGCACGTTCTTTGTCTTCTTTATAAAATTTTAAATTACCCCCAGCTTCCTCATTATCTGTTCCCGTTTTTCCCCCTTATCCCCCAATTCCCGCCCAAAACGTACCTGTGACACTAGAACTCTTTTATATCCCCAATCCAACTCCAAATTCTTTCACAATTCTTTTACCGTAAATGCAGCTCGTATGTGGAATAAACTACCTGCTAGCATTCGTGACAGTCCATCGGTGGCATCTTTCAAACACAAATTAAAAGAGTACTACCTGTCGAACGTGTTAGATAGTTTAGGTATAGGTAACATATTTGTAAACAAATGATCTGTTATTATAATATATATTCTGCTTATGTATGTATTTATGTATATAAAGTTCATGTATGTGTGTATGTCTGTCGTATGTATATTATTATCATTTATATTTTATTCACATTTAAATTTTAATTTTGTTGTACAATAATTAGTCCCGCAGACTTCATTTTTGCACCACGGCTAGGGTTGGCTGGAAGAGATCTCTTATAGAGATAAGCTCACCTTTGTATATGTCCATTGTAACGTGTGTTTCATGTTTCTTTTCTTTGTACAATAAAGAATATATATAAGGTTGAGGGTACTGGTGAAATTACAGGAACGTGGGACTAATTATCAACTTATGTCTCAGGGTGGCGGGCGTAGTGGAAGTGCCTCTCAGGTCTTTGCGATTTAAAACTGTGTGGCACTGCAACTGTTATGGACAAGCGTGTCGCTTGCCACCAGGCGCATGATTTGTTTGTTCCGTAACTTGATATTATAAAAAAATAGTTTTAAACGTACTACCGAGTACTAAAAAAACCGACCTCAAAAGTCATTCATCCCCTAGTTTGCCACCCTTAGAGGTGGAATATTTTCTTCAAATTTAAACGGGACCACATCTAAGGTACCTTCTTTCCAACAAAAATATATATAATCATCAAAATCGGTTCACAAATGCCGTATTATTTAGTTATCGCGTAACACAAATACAACATTATTGTTATATCAACATTTTTGCTTCACATGGCTACTTAGTGTTTGATGTACTTGTAAAAATATTTCACATACAGCCAAACGTGCAAACGCTGACAAATCGTCTGTGTTTTGAAGAAAAATTTCAAAAAATGTTTAGATTTTAACAACTGTTTTAAAATATTTACGTCCTATATGAAAATTCAATCTTGGTTTTAAGTAAATTTAAGTTTAATAATTGAATTGAAAACAGGACGTAAATATTTTAAACAGTCGTGAAAAACTAAGCATGCCTGAAAAATTTTCCGAAATTGCGTTTTTGCCCTTCCTACAAAATATGACTATACCATATAGCCAAATAAGAAGTTAAAATAATGAATATGACCGTAGTATGTGTGGACGGTTAACTCGAGTATATTTTCTGGTTATATCATTTCCTAAGTTTAAAAACTACATTAAATGTATTTTACTTGAAAAGTAATATTACAAAATTAGAGACTACGGGTCGTATTCTAGAACTCTACTCAATGCTCCAGTCAATATTTGAGTATGGTTTAAAGCACTCGAAATCATACTCAAGTCCCTGCCATTAGGTTTGTATTTCCAGTGGTTGAAATCGTACTCAGATCCTAACTTGATTCATTGTGATTTTTAAGCGATTGCATCGATGCAATCGCGATTTTGCATCGTTTGTAAAAGTCTACGTGTGTATTCACTCTTAAACTGAAACTAAATAAGATATAAAAACCGATTCTAATAGAGATTAGTAATATAGAAGATTTAGTTTCGCTGATCTCAGATATTTTTTTTATACGCAATTTCGCTAAAAATGTCTATTACGTCAGTTAAGGAGGTCAGCATCTATTGTTATGCAAAATGACCGCATCATTTAATTACTAATTTTTATAACTCACTCAATGCTAACTTAACTCACGGAAATTCGGCTAAATATTGCATTACCAAACTTTATATTTATGTCTCGCATATTATCGCATATCGCGTTTTGCCGAAAACACAATATATTGTTGTTGTGCCACCGGGGTCTGGTTATGTCTTCAATAATGGAGATCACTAGTTAGCATGACAGTGCGCGATTTGCGCGAGAGCGACATAAATCTCTCGCTATATGTCGCTCTCGTGCAAGTCGTTCATGCTACCGTACAAATCGAGATGTCTTTTATTTTTCTGTAGCCAAGGTTCGGCAGGATTTTTATGGTTACCCATCGCGACGTATGCTCTCTTAACCGTGCACACATACTTAATAAGGTTTATAGATACACTGCATAGAAATATGTATAGGTATAGATGCGCTTAATATTAGATTACTGTTTTAGTTCTCGTGTCCCGATAGATAGAGCACAGCATGGTGAAGGTAACAGCAATATTTATGCCGAGAGTGTGTTCCTTTCATTCACACATTATAAGTATATCATTCATGTATGTGATGAGTAAAGCCCTATTTGTTTATATATTTATAAAGTACTTTCAAGACGTATCTACTTGTCGAGTTCTTAGGTTTTCGCATTTGTTACACTAAAGTACCTAGTGTATGTAACTATCTACTTTTTTTATTAATTTTCTTAATTCTGTGACTTTCAGGGGAGTGCCTACCTTATGCCCAAAGAAAGTACCCAACCAGGATCAAACAACGTGGAAACATAAATTTATCCGATTCCGTGAGTTCGGAAGTTTCAAATGTGAAGTCATCAATGTTGGTCCCAATAACGAAATTACCTTCAAAATCGATTTTCGATATTAAATCGAATACAGACAATAGTGGTCACAGTCTCGCATATGATTCGAGTATTCCTCTAACTACCATTTACAACATCCGTGGCGATCTCGTTGAGATATCCATAATTGGTTATAAATTAATAATTCCACAAGAGTTTTTAAAGTTGATCGGTCTCGCCCTGCCATTCCATAAATATTTAAATAAACTGACAATCCGCAAGGGTGGGTTAGCCCAAGGAACTATTTATGAAATCAATAAACTGCTGCCCTGTTCTAACATTACCGAAGTATGTTTAGATGACAATTATGTAATTCAAGGAAACTATTACATCTTGCTGGACGAACTGACTTCGCTTAGAATTTTATCTTTATGTAGATGTAGCATCAATGAAGTTGTTTGCGAAAGCATAGTTAGAAGACTAGAGCCAGGACGTCCAGGTGACAAATTACAGTCACTTAGTCTGTCTACAAATTATATCGGTAATAACGGAGCTAGACAATTTGGAGATCTTCTCAGAAGAAATCGTAGCCTTTTTCATCTGAATTTATCCGATAACCAGATTACTTACTCTGGTGCTGCCGCTATATTGGAAAGTTTGAAAGAGTTTAGATTAAATGAAGACGAAATACTAAAGAAAAAGATGAAAAAGATGGCCTACGAAAAGAAGAAGATTAAAGTGTATGAGATGATATTACGCGATCTGCCCACGACGTCACGACTCACAACACTCACTACTTCACGTACTGCGAATACTTCTACAAACAAAAATGAACAATCAACAAAAGAAAGGAACGATAGTATATTCATCCACAGTGAGACGTCTGCTCAAAACGTCCTCCCTAGTGTATATGAACTGGCGTACACTGAGGCGGGAAAAATAGTAGGTTGTTTCCAAGATTTATTCGATGATAAAAATACCGTGGAAAAGAATAACAAAGTGTATTGTATCGGTAATATGCGTCTTTGTTATTTAAACTTGGCCTATAACGACCTGAATGATAGGATTCTAAAACTGATCCGCGAAGTGTTAGAATACCAGGATAGGTTAACCAAGCCTTCAAATAACATTGGTTTGATAAAATTAGGCGTTGAAGGGAATCTATTTTCTAGAAACAACATTGACCTCCTGATTATTCAAGTCTTATTGATGAAAGTATTGCCTGATCGGCAGGGCCGTCATCCTTCTACAAGTGGCAAATTTCGCTCCAAGCGTCGTATTAAAGACTGAAACACGCGTGTCTTTTGATTTTCTTCTTCTTTGTTTTTTTTATTAATTACGAAGCATCGTATTGATATGTACTGATAAGTAAGTTAGTAGGTTTGTTTTTTTACATGAAAGTATGTAAGGTAATAGTTTTAGTTTACATTTTTCTCCATGAAAGTAGACAATATTTAGTTAGGTATTTTATATAGTACCTAGTTTTAATCATGGAGTAAATAAATGTATGTAATCCGTGGTGTAACTTATCAAGTATTAATATTCAATTGTTATGTTTTTGCTTTAAGAAAATTTTTCTTTCAATATGAATAAGAGTCGAATAAGATGAATATTTTCTTTTATGTTACTATTTAGTATATTGAAATATTTCAGACACCGGGGAAAAAGTATATTTTGTTAATTATGTGCTTCTATAATTACACTTAGAAGCATTAAGATGAATTTATAGAGACAATGTGAGAAGTGTCACACATTTTCGATTGTGGAAGCAGTCTGATGGCATCGCAATCAGAGGTGTTGTTGCGCTTACCTTATAAAGAAACGACTAATTCGTATTTTAGTTTGCCTGCTTAAGTTTCTTATCAGCTAGTGGACAGGACTTTCGAAAATAATTTCAATCCCATGGGCCATGGAATTGTAATATCAGGGTTTATTACTTTACCTCGTTATTTTAATTTGAATTTTGTAAATTAATTTTAAATTTTGTTACGAAGAATATTTCTGCGTTGTGATCCTGAAAAGATTTAATTTTAGAATTATGGCAAGTGCATCTATAGCCAATAGAGCGAAGTCAACGAATTGGCTCCGATCGAAATGGTCAGGAACCACTGTAACAACAACGGTGCAAACAGAGGTCCATACTGGCGACGATGGCCAACAAACTTTGGCCTTTGAGAATCTCTTACCGTCTATGTACAATAAATATGGTGGCCTAAATTCAATATTTGTCAAGAAGGACGTAATAAGAGGTTGTATAAAATAAGTTGATACAAATTCATCAATGGTGACGCATAGTTTATTCCTCAAATTCCCTGACCATTACTCACAGGTTGGGGAATGTCAGATTTGCTACGCAGTGGGGGTTATGCAAACAATTTCATTATTTCCTAACATTGTTTTTCATTTTTTCTGCGCTTATTGTATGATGTGTTGATAAAAATTTGGATGGGCCTCTGCCGCCGCCGACATATTCGTGTAAATTAATATGCATGCAGTTTATAAAAGGTTTCAGTTTTATTAATATCGATTGATCACAAACTCGCCTCATGTGAAGACGTAAATTAAATTCCTATTCACCTTGCTTTTGGGAACCAGATGCCGGCTGTGAATTCCACTCCTTTTCCGTATGCATCAGAGAGATAAAGCAAATTGCTTCGTGTATGGATGGATGGAATGTTCCGCACTTTCTAGTAATCGGAAGGAGGAATGGTGTTGATAGAACTAGACTGCAAAGCAGCTCACTTTATTTAACGCCAACGGATTTATGTAATGGAATATGACGCCCGGAGATCGATCCTAGCAAATATTTTCAACAAATCTTGTTGAAAAATTTGTTATTAAAAGGTTGGGGGATCAATGGAATTATTTGCTAAAAATCCCAAAAAAAGTAAGCCTTGATACGCCGTAGGGTTTTGTGGAATCATCGTCATTATTATGATTGTTCTGTGGAATAACTAAACATTTCTTTTAGAACTCAGTCTTTACTTACGATCAATGTATTTTAATACAACGCAGGTGATTTGCCGAAATCATCGAAAAGAAAGGAGTCTTCAACTAAAGAGGAGCCGGTATCGAGCAAGAAAAGCGCGAGTAGAAAAGTTACAGTCAGAACCGTTGAAAGTGAACCAAGCCCTAACGCTATAATTATAACTGCTCGCTATGATAAGTTTAATCGTTTGATCGAATTAGTTATGAATAAAACTGATCTCCGAATTCGTCAAATCATGCAAGTGATTGCTCTTTTAGCGCCTTACTGTGATAGTCTCGGCAAAATAGTTATACAACGCTGTCACATAAACGCTTTTGTCATATACGACTTAAGCAAAATGTTACCATTGACGGCTATAACCGAGATTTGCCTGGATGAGTCTCCATTGCCCGAAGCTAATTATGCAATACTTTTGAATGCGGAGGGCAACGTACTCAAACACTTATCAATAGCAAGGTGTCTTATCAATGATGTAGTGTGCGAACAAATAGCTTCCAAACTACGTTACAATATGATAGCTGGAAAACAACTGTTGACATTGAATTTATCTTCTAATCATATAACTGATGAGGGTGCTAAATTTTTAGCTGACGCCTTGCGAACCAATCGTCGATTGAGGTATTTGAATTTAGCAAATAATTGCATCACTGACACTGGCTTCAATCAAATACTCGACACTTTGACGGAATTTCCTTTGACTCCCACTGAGATAACGCAGAAAAAAGCATGCTGTGTTGAATATTTGAAAAAACGCCTGGCGTTTTTTATGGACCAACTTCATTTTACCGGGCTTCATTCTTTGCCCGATTGCGGTTCACGTGCTTCAAAGATTATTATGAATAAAAGCGATGCCATTATTCCTGCAAAGAGTAGTGGGAAGATACTGCCTCAGTATAGTGCCGATAGAATAAAAAGTCGAACCGAAATACCAGAGATTAAAAAAGTTAAAGCACAAAGTCGTGATATTGAAAAAGTAAATTCGGCGAAATCAGCGACTACTTATTCAAAACAATCTGAGACAGTTAAACCTAAAGATTTTAGTACATTGTACGATTGTATGGGACCTTTTAACCCTGACCATCTTGTATACAAAGACGGTTGGACATACTCCAAGGGAAACCTAGAACTTAGTTATTTGAACGTTGCTTACAATGATTTAACTTTAATAGGTATGAGGAAACTATTGACAGTTTTAACTTATCAAAGCGAAGTAAGACAACCTGGGCAAACAGGCTTGATAAATATTATTATTGAAGGCAATCTTTTACCATCAGACTGTCCAGAAATAAGGGCGATTAATAATGTGTTGGCTAATATACTTACCGGCACACGGTCCAGTACCAGTAAAAAATTTACTTTTACATGATAGAGGACCTCAGGATACGAACGCCAACTACAATAATATTATACAGTTCATGGTAAGACACAGGAATTTATACTCAGTTTTTGCTCAAATGCCTTTAATAAACAGCTCAATTATATTTACAATATTTTAACATAATTATGTAGCACAATGTATAGGTACATAATATATATTTTAATGTAATGGCAATACATTGATTTTCATATTCACTATTTTACAACAGGCATAATGTCTACATTAATAATGGTGATATAAATATAAACGGAATGGCTAAAAATAAACACTAGGTTTGGTAACTATAGTCGATCGAATAAACTAACTGGATTGGTACCGCGCTAAATTATAAACAGAAATGTCATGTTACAAGATTGAATATATTGAACTAAATTTAAACGAATCTCTATACTATATAGACGGAATACTTAAATCTATTTTGTAGATATACAACAATTAATAGACAGCACCAACTTTGTCGTTTGATAACGTAATGCTAACGTACTGGCTTAACAATGTTTTGGCTCTAATTTTTTTTCATCATTACAACACAAATGACCTAAGTTATATTTCATTATCCTAACAAAATATTATCTTAGTTTCTTTGATAACAATACTGCAACAATTACAGTTGTAGGACTTCTGATTAATACCTGATTAAGTTCTAGGTGGCAAATATTCTCTGTTAGGTTGTTGTGCAGGGTAGCCTGTGTCACCTTGCGGTCTGCCTCCGCTGCCCGGAGTAGAAAAAGCTGGACCACTGGGTTTACCTGATGGGTAGCCTTGACTTTCACCAGGGCGAGAGCCGGGGTAGTTTGATGGTCCTTGTGCGCCTGGATACGTAGCCGTTGGGCCTTGAGAACTTGGAGAACCTGGATAACCTGGCGCGGCTGAATTGCCTGTGTAGGACGGACCTTGTGGGGCAGTGCTACCTGGGTATGACGCTGGTGGACCTTGCTGACCAGTACTACCAGGATATGAGGCTGCTGGTGCTTGTGATCCAGAACTGGGATAGCCAGCCGTCAGCCCTTGCGAACTAGAGCTCCCGGGGTATCCAGAAGAAGGGCTTTGTGGACCTGAACTTCCAGGGAAACCTACGGATGGTCCCTGAAGACCTGTACTGCCAGGGTAACCGGCAGATGGACCTTGCGGGCCTGTAGTCCCGGCATAACCAGAGGAAGGACCTTGAGGCCCTATGCTACCTGGGTAGACACCTGATGGTCCTTGCGGTCCTGTTCCTGCGTAGGGGCCCGTGGGTTCTTGCTGATAATCATTTGTACCTTGGAAGCCACCTTGAGGTCTAGATCCGGTTATTGAATAATCATAAAGGTTTGCGTTGAGTTCGTACAGACTCTGTGCTGAGTTGCAATCAAATTGGTTCCACCACACGCAAACGAAGACTTGTTGAGAGAATATTGTCCCATTGGGACAAAGAAAATCGAAAGTTCTGTTATTTGCACAGACGTGGAAAACTTGACAACGTGTTTCTACGTCAGCATAATAGCCAGGATAAGCTTGGGCATCACATCTAAATGAGGTTTGAGGTATTTCTGTCAGTATTGGGTAGTCTTTATCCGGTTCTCCAGGAATAGCAGAATAGTCACCACCTTCATAAGCTCCAGTATCATCGGTGTTAAAGCCAGGTCCGAATCCACTAGGTTTGCCAGGTGTTCCTTGTTGACCGGGTTGGCTTGGATAATTTTGACCTGGCAAACCTTGATTCGAATAGTTGGGCACTGATTGGCCAGGTAAGCTACCGGCGCTTGTGCCCTGAACTGGATATGATGGAGCTGATGGGCTCTGTCCTGAATAAGGTGGTGATGGTCCTTGTCCTGGAAACGATGGAGTCGAAGAGCCTTGGCTGGGATACGATGGACCCGATGGGCCTTGACCTGCGTATGACGGAGATGATGTACCTTGGCCTGGAAAACCTGGTTGAGGGCGCTGGCCGGAACCTGGGTAACCTTGATTGGGACCTGAAGGATAATTAGAAGGTCCTGGATATCCAGATGTGGATCCCGATGCAGCGGCTGGGTCCCTTTGTGGAGTTCCGGGAATGGATGCAATTGGAGATCCTGGAAAACCGCCTTGTGACCCAGGTGTATACCCCGGCCTGCTGGGTGTCGTACCTGGACCAAAAGGCTTGCCAGGCTTGTTATATTCGTATCCACTCTGAGCGGAAACCAAGGCTAGTAGAGCTGCAAAAGAGGAAAACGATATTTGTTAGAAGCTGCAAATAGACTTCGTTTCTCATTTAGCATAAAGTTAAGTATCAAGAAGCGCATAATTTATTTTTTCTTAATTTCCTCCCGAAGGCACAATAGGCCCGAAGAGCAGAACCCAAGATCGCATCGCGTGAGAGCGTATGTCTCGTACTTTCGCAATGCGCCTGCGACTCTAACAGGGAAATTATCGTAACGTAACCTCGCTATTTGGTGAACTGGCTCATCGCAAGATGCTATCTTGCGGGTATATCATTAATTGGACGATTGTCGGGATAACGACTGCGTTCGATGCGAGTTGTGGCAATTTGTTTGACCGGAGATCTTTATGCAATTAGTTTAAGCAGAAGTATTTATTTTTTATGCTTTAATTTAGTCATTGTCAGGTATGAACCGATTCGCCTATGCGACTTGTTATATAAAAATCATGTGTCTTAGATACACATTTCATTGCCTGATAAATAGTTAACAGCCTTTTGTTTTACTTTACATAATCTAAGTAGTGAGTACAATTTTATTATAATAGACTAGTCTACTTAGGTAGTTGGTTATAGTAATTAAGTTTTCCGCAGCACGATGACGTAATTGCCGCAAATATTGCGATAATTTAAACCTTAAGTGCTTTGTGCGGGCATTTTGGCCATTTTGGTGCGAAAAACATTGAGCTTGATTGTTTCCAACATTTTCGCAATTGACATTGGTTGGCCAACACCGTGTGATGTTGTTGTTAATGCCTCTTTTAATGACACCGTCGCATTTCGTTGAGGTTTTCATTAATACTGCCTTGTTAGCGAATCTTGAGGCCAAGGATGACCCTGGTTTTGTTTTTTATTGTTTGCATTTGTTTTTTTATTGAGCAAATATAAGCGATTAGAATTAAATATTCTGTACGTATTATTTTTATCAAACTTTTGTGTTAGGCTATCCTATTAAGTTATCCTAGAGGATAGGATAGCCTAACACAAAAGACAAGATATTCTCACTAGTCCCACTGCTGGGCACAATCCTCTTTCCAGTATGAGAAGGTTTGGGCTGTAGTTCCCACGGGGATTGTGTGCAGATTAGGAACTTCACATACCTATATGAAAATTTAAACCAGTCTCTTCTGTCTTTGGTTTAGTGGTTGAGAACATGGCTAAGTATATTACTCATTATATAGACGTGCCTTAACTAGTGACATTGAAGTGATGGCAATTTAACACAATCAGTTAATGTCGTAAGTCTTGTTCTAAGATGACTGTAAGGTACCAGACACACGAGTTACCAGGTGTCAAACTAGGGAACGCCCTGTACTATGAGTATCAGAGCGACAGAATTTTACTCTATTTAATTACTCTACTTTAGTAGCAGTAGAGCTGCTTTTGAAAGGGTTCGTTCAGGGAAGTGCTGCCAGCTTACTTATTTCTGCCACCAAGCAGTAATGTCAGCATTATTGCGTATCGGTTTTGAAAGTGCAGAGAGCTAAAGAAATTACACGCACATGGGACTTGTCAACTTATGTCTCAGGGTGACGGACGCAGTGGCAGTGCCCTTCAGATCTTTGCGATTTAGAGCTCTGAGTGGCACTGCAACTTTTAGTATCATAAAAAAAATCAGAACACCAAAAGCAGAACCAATTTAAAATTAAATTGGTTCTACCGGGAACCGAACCCGGAACCAGCGTCTACAGTGCGAAACCGATTGGCAACGTATAAAATTTTATTTCGTTTCAAACTTAGAATAATAACGCATAGAATGATAGTTTCATACCAAACAAACTGTCACAAGTGAGGCAAAAATCAAATTCATGTAGGCTAGTTTTAGTAGTAGGTTAATTTTCGGTTTTAGTAAGTTGAAACGCGTTACTTCCTTGTGGAATGTGATGTTAGTATCTATTTTACGTTTGTCGTATTTTTACACTCATTTACCGCACATTTCGTCATTTTTAGCTAAAATTCTTGATCTGTTCGCGGTGCAAGTTGACCTTGAGCACTGAAGGCCCGCCCGCTCGTGTAGGCCCTTTTGGCGCGCTTCAATTTGCCTCACTTAGCGTGTGCGGACTAGGTTTCTATGCGTTATTATTCTAAGGTTTCAAATATAATACTTATTTGTTATGCAAGGCTGCAAAGTTGTTTGCCACGGGTGCTTGTATTGAAACTTGAGTAAGCGAAGGAAGCTAAGACTTGAGCGTAGCGAGGGTTTAAAGGCACGAGTCGCAACGCAACAACTTTGCTGCCGAGCGAAACACACAACTTTTCACTTCACTATAGCGAGGGAAATGGCAAATGAAAGAAAAAACTATAAAACCTTTTTTAATGAAAAGAAAAAGTTTGACTTCGGATGCGTTCTGAATTTACACCTCGTCAATTTTTATTCTTGCTTGTACTATTATTTTGTGTGATAAAGTGATTATTGAAATTATTTTAGTTCTTCGACGAATTAAAATTATTTAATAAACACAATTAGTTATCATTGTCAATTTAATGTCAACAACAATAAGAATAAAATATACCAATGTTTTTATGTTACATAATTAAGTAACGTACGACAAATCGCTTAATTGATCGTGGCATTATCTTTTTATTTCCATCCTCTAAGACCACAGTCCATAGTCAAGTTCCAATTTCAAAAATCGTTTTCACGCTATTTTGCAAAAAACGCTTTTGCGTGCACATTTCTAATGCGAAAGAAAGCCTTTCCGGGCTAGTGAGGTGAAAAAAAATTACATGCAAGGTAGCCTAATTAATAATTTGACCTCTCGCCTTTCAAACCGAGGTCATGGGTTCGAATCCGGACTCGTGCCCCAGAGTTTCTCTGAATTTGTATGATATTTAATTTGAAAATTTACCATGAGCTTTTCGATGAACGAAAACATCGTGACGAAACCGGCACGTTGAAGAAGGTTCACAACCCTCGGAAAACGTGTCAAGTCCCAATCCGCATCGGGACAGCGTGGCTGACAATGGCCTAAAGAGGCCTGACAGGAGTCCCGTGCCCAGCAGCAGGAGTTTTAAAGAGTTGATGATAACGACATTCAAGGCGGAGACCTTATAAATATTAATATACTTGTATCAGGCTCTGAGGTGTGGCTCCTCTTTAAAGTACTAATGAGTAGTGGCCACGAAACAAAAAAAAGTTTTTATTTTGGGTAAGCAAAGCTCTTCTACCTTACAGCCTCTTTACATATTACTATATTTCCTTGTTTTGATGGAAAAGGCGACAATGTTCTTTTCTAGAAGGAGATTAATGAAAGTTTGTATTTTTTTTACCTAAGCCCAAGCTCTGGAGCTGTGGAAGTTTTACGAACGATTACATTATTAAACTTATTACATTCTGTTGTTTTAACAGACCAGTCGATGGCTTCAAAGTACACTACGCAATCAGCCAATTGTAATTTTCACAGAAAACCAGAAAGTGTGTCTTTGATCTGTAATTTTGTATTATCGTAATATGCGACATAGTGTAATAAGTGTGTTCAATTTGAAAATAAAATGCAGATATCTGTTTATTGATATAGCTGTATTTGTTTGGGCTGTGTATAGCTCAAATGTAAACTACAATGAGTGTGTGCGTTGTTATTATTATTATTATTATTATTATATATAGCCTTTCAGTACATATTGTATATGCAATGTATAATGCCCTTGTAAGAAGCCTCTTCGAGTGTAATGCAGTAGTTTGGGCTCCACGTCAAATGCGTTACTTATAGTCTTATGCTAGAGCGTATTCAAAACAAATTCCTGAGATATCTGTACTTGACGCAATAAGGGGCTTATCCCTTCTACCCCCTGATGTATCCTAATCTGTTAATTTTTTGTATGGTGGGATACAAGGAGCTACACGTGCGTAGGAACTTAGCATTAGCAGTGTACGTGTTAAAGGTAATCAGGGGTATGCTATGCAATCCGATGCTGCTAGGAGTATTAGACTTATGTGTACCTGATAGGTACGTGCGGCGACGTGGAAGGACCAATCTCATGATGGAATGTTCATCAACGCGCACATTGCACACCCTGAACGAAACAGGGAATAGGATCGATCTATTCATTGTACTCTGAGTGAATTCACAAAGATTTAAACGCTTTAAATCTTATGTTACGTGTAGTAATTTTGCTGGTCTATTGCGTTGGGTGGACAACCTGCAATAATATCTTAAGTTTGGAAATAAATAAATAATATAATCTAAGATCGCACCCTTGGTGCAATAAATCCATATTTGCAAAATATAAATTTTTCGAAGATGAAGAAGAAGGAGAGAGGTTTTAAGATTCTGTGAACGAAATAAGTCGATAACATTTTTGTTTAAATGTATTATGTAGACAGTGGTAAGTATTACAGTTGTAGAAGTTCACATATATGTATAATATAAACTATTTGATACAAATCATATTGATTGGTATGATATAGCTCGTATTATTTTTATTCATGGATACCTAGGGAATGTATTGTTATGAGATAACTCTATTTTAAAAAAGCAGTTAGGTAGGTTTTAGAAGTTTTTTATTATTTGTTTCTGTGTTCTAGTCATTGTTTTAGATCACGGAAGAAAGCTAGAAAGCAGTCACAGTGACTAATTTATATTTGAATTAACGTTCTTTTAAACATGTATTCGATCGAAACGTTTTAAACTCTAATAGTCTGTATATATATACATATATATTTTATAACATCAAGGGAGGGGGCGAACAAGTCGTTCACCTGATGGTAAGCTGCACGCCTGTCCATGATAATTACAGTGCTACACAGAGCTTTAAATTGCAAAGATCTGAGGGGCACTGCCACTGCACCCGTCACCCTTAGACGTGAGTTGACAAGTCCCATGCGCCTGTAATTTCACCAGCAACCTTACCCTTCAAAACCGGAACGCACTATTTATTTTAAATTTCTTACAAAGGGTGTTAATGTGAATGCATTACTTGAAGAAAAAAACTAGTGTGTAAATATGAAGGAAATGTAATATGAAGTCAGCCTGCAAAATTTATATGTACAATCCATTTTTTCAATTTCAGTAACTTTGCGCTTTAAGATACGAGTTTGAGAAACGCAAACGCAAAGAAAGGCGACGCAATGCTGGTTCCCTCTCATCTACAATCCTGAACATACAATTCGAGCCACCTCGCATTTTTATTCTTAAAGGGCTAGAATACAAAAATATTACCATCGTCGAAGAATAAATAATTATAAATTAGAAAAAGTTCCCCGGTTTTATATATTCAAATTTTCAACAACGACCATGGAAATTACTATAAAAACACAGCTTCTACTTACTAGAACGACAAAAATCCGTGGTAAAGACACGTTTAGCTTATGCACGTTGTCTTGAGCTATTTAATTGAAATATTTGAAATAAATATTGTTAATGATCAATGTATGTATTTGATAGTCATCTTCACAACATCACAAAGGGCAATACATTAATTACGCTTCTATAATAAGATTTTGATTTTGATATTCTTTGCCATTCACGAGACTCAACACTATAGCGAAACAAAAACTTTAAACTGAAGGCAAACACACCTTCTACGTACTTGGATGACAAAAATCCATGTCAATGATCCGTTTAACACTTGCATGTAATCTCGATCTATGATGTTTGAAATGTAAATAATAAATGTGAATCAATACATATTCTGTACCCATTTTTCCCTCAGGAATTTACCTTACGAATGAGTGACGATTTCAAATGTAATTTACTTAGCTGTGATATAAAGATTATTTGAACGTTTGAACGGTTATTACGATAGTTTTAAAGTAGCGTAAGGTCGCAAATTGAGGACATCTTGTGTTGGATACATTCAATACAAGACACATTGTACGCGATTTTTTTCAATCAAACATTATTTGAACTCGTGGTGATATCAATTAGTATATAATCCGGAAGTGTATATTCCACAAAGTTCAAATTACCTTGTACCTAATTGGCTCATTATAAAGATAGTATTGGTTACGATCTATGACGGTCCAGCAATGAATTTTGGGCGAGCCAACCAACGCGAGCTTAGATTTCAGGGTGTAGGGGATCGCCACACGCGTCTCGCATTCCACCCGCTTCAAATTAATAATATGTATAAAATATTAATTTTCTTACCTAAAATGTACGCTCGCTTTGAAATACCTCTACCTATAGAATGTTTGTACAAAAAACAAACCCTCTTAATTTAAATCTAGTATGAAAAGGAACGTAACTCATTTCAATTGTGCGGAATTTATTGTATTGAATTACAGAAAATAACTAACAAAAACAAACAAAAACGCTAAAAACAAACAACAAACTAAAAAGAGAAGCTACAAAAGAAAAACAAATTTTCATCGTATTGATTTTACGCCCCGGCGAAGTTCATGGGTGGACGGGGCGGGGGGTTGGAATATCAGTGTCTGGCATGGTAGCAAAGCTTACGTTCTCCGACTAATGTATCAGGCTCGTTGGTCTAGGGGCTATGACACCTGCCTACTGTGCGGGAGACCTGGGTTCAAATCCCGGACGAGCCATAGTTTCGCCATTGTCAGCTTTTTGTTTTTTAAGTCATTTATTTAACTTTATACTTTAACTTTACCTGGTTCCGTAATAGATAGTTATTATTAATATTATTGTACTTTTATTTTATATAATAATATGGTGCTGGAAAAACGATGAAAACGAAGAAAACTAGGAATACTTCTGATAGCGTGCTATAAAATTTTGTTAAGAAGATTGTTATTTACGACGCATAAATAATGTTAATTATTTCCTATCTCTTGGATACGTAAGAACATTCCATTTCATATAATTATTATGTTTGTACAGTGTTTTTGAATTGGTCAGTATGAGAAAATCCGAAATCATGGGAGACACAAGGAACCTGTATTAGTAACCGTCTTTTTTGTGGGAACAAATTTGACATGGTAATTTTTGTGGTTAAGTGTGAGTTGCCCATAAAGATAAATAAAATTGATTATATTTTTAATGCTGAATTAGTCAGTTTCACGAACATTTCATTGTATCGAAAAAAAACGGGATTACAGAAGTTGCTCAAATTTAATAAAATGTTTTTTCATTCAAGATTTACTATGCCAAAATTGTGAAAGGGTTGTAACCCTAATTAGCCGTGAACACGTGGTTCACGGCAATGAAATGGAAAACTTCCGGTCCACAAAATTTATTAAAGAAGTAAAATTTAAAGAAAGGCTGTAACAATATAAAGGCAAATGTAAAAAAACAAGTATAACAGTATAAAACACTCCCTACACTTTATTATTAAGGCACTTACCCCTAAATGGGCCGAGAAACTGAATTACAGAAAAAGATACATAAAGGCTGTAGACTTATAAATTATTACACATGATTAGCTTATTAACAGCTCCGACTGTTGTGGCGGTCGAGCTGGGAGTGACCGTGGTACGAAAACAAAATGAGAAAGTGAAGGAAGATAGAACAATTCAAATTTAAAATTTAAATACATGTAAAATAAAAAAAATGATAGGATACAAGCGGAGAGAGGCGATACAAAGAGGTGAGATGACGGTGTAAGGAGATCACACCGTCACAATTGTTAGCACTTAATGGTTTCTAAGACAGTTTTCCTGTATCTTCTACGATTTCGGATTTCCCTATACTGGCCCAGTTAAAAAAAAACACTGTACATAATATCTGCATGAAGCAAAACACAGTCAATTTTTAAAAGTAAGTAATACACACCGTGCAATTGTACAATGTATTCAAAAAAGAAACAAACTTGAACCTGACAATGTCTACAATTTCAAATTTATGATGATATTATTTTCTGAGGTACTCAAAGTTTTGTAAATATATTTAGACAATTATGAATAAACTACTGTAACGTTTTAGCTTAAATTTTCTAACCGACTTCTCTTTTTTTTTGTAAGGATGTTACGCGATAACTTTTTTTGAACCGATTTTGAGATGATTATTTTTTTGTTGTAAAGAGGGTACCAGTAGCGGTCCCATTAAAATTTTACTCAGCTAAGTAAGTGTAAGTGTGATGTAAAACATTGTACAAACGTTCGGGACATTAAAGCCCTCGCCTTTAGCTAATGTTTTGAATGCGCATTTTGGACATATCGACGCGACACAAAACACGCTCTCATACCAAATCTTCCCTTTTTTCCTATATCTATAACCTCAACATTTGAACTTGTTACGGGGTAGCTAGGGCAGGGTGTACTACCATCCTCATCATAATTAATGTAATCGACATTTCAGCGAAGTTGCGTTATTAGGGGAACGTGGGGTATTGGGAGCCCACGGGTAATGAGAGCGGTGTTAAACTGGACTTTTTCTATGTTCGTATTTGTGCAAGCGGCGCTCCTATGTTTTCGTTAATGTTCAACAAAGTTCTGAACCCCGGGTTTAGTCCTACGAGATGGTTGCGTGTTTTTCGCTCCCCGTTTGTAAAAATTGCCAAATTTCATCATCCCATCATGATAATAATCATATTTGCTTACTCTGCGGAGACCGGTTAGTGAGTCAGAGAACATAATCGCAGTATTGTGTAGAAAGGGAGAAAGTTTGCTTACTCTGCGGAGACCGGTTAGTGAGTCAGAGAACATAATCGCAGTATTGTG